CAACAGCTTCATGTGTTCAAGACTCTTGAGAGTCTGGCTTCTCAGTACTAGAAAGGATGAATCTCCTTGTCATATATAACAGGATTGGATTGGGTTTTTACTTGGGTGGTTATAGGAGCCCTGAGCATCAGCCGGTTCTGGCCTTGTAAAGAATCATCTCTATTGCTGATCCTAGAGGCAGAGACAGGTCTTTTGCCCGGAGACTTGTTCTTCTCCATTTTACAATGACATGGAGTGTTTATCCTTAATTCGGCCGAGCTTTTAGAGACCTGAATCTTTTTCTGATGGCTCTTGTCTCCAGGCTCTCTTTCTGCTGTGTTGTTTCTCTCCAGGCCTCACAGGCATCCCCATGGAGATTGCTATTCTCAGAACTTATGGGTGGGCTGTGAGGTCATGACCCCGCACAGGAAAGAAAATATTCCAGTATATAGGCCTATAGCTAATGGTTACATGGCAAACATTAAATCCTAACAGGAAAAAATGCAAGGAGATAGAATGATTGAAACTTTCTTATACTCTGGATTTTTCATTTAGTAGTCAGTGAGGAACTGGTTCAGTTCAGTTTGTTTTCAAGGGGAGTCTGGAACTGAGATGAGCACCCTAAAAGAAATTCCTTTACTGAGAATTAAATGACAAAAAAAGGGATTGTTGAGCCACTGTACAGTTCTGCTGAAGTAGGAAACAAAAGAGAGTGTGACTAGTCACAGCCCCCAGGGTATTATTTCTCTGGTGATAACTGGGAAGAGTTTTTTCCTAGCAGGTAACTTAAGGAAAAGCAGCTCTTGATCCCATTCTACATATTATTTGGATCGCAAGAAAGCTGTAACAGCAAGGAGTCCCCAAATCAAATCTATGCATTGACAGAGCAGTGGCACAACTACCCAGCCCGCTGCTTCAAAGTGACCGGAACACCAAAACATGCCATCTGTGGAATTTGATGGCTGCAGAACTATGAGTCACTGCCTCCAAGTGGATAGTGAGCATCTCCAACAAGGCACTCTGGAAATTAGATTTGGACTTCCTTTCTTTCTCGGTTGGAAGAGGAAGAGGGAGTGTAAGGGTACTGAGTTGGCTCATTCTGCTGCCATGGGGCGGATCTCGACCTGGGTAGCCAAACTCCAGGCTGCACCTTAAGGATTAGAGAAGAGTGGAGAAGCCAAGAAGATAGGAGAAAGGGGCTATGGGTCTTCCTTCTCTGTCCCCACAGAAAAGAGAAATTCTCCTTTGATCTGGTTTACTTGATAAAAAGGTTTCATATATTTCCTTTTTTTTTTAAAAAAAAAAAAAAGGCAAGGAAACCATTGCTCTAGAGGAAATGACTGAAAACAGCAGCACTGCTCTGACCCAGGGAGAGCTCAGGATGGGATGTTTGTCATAATCATGGGTTACAGTGTGAGCTCTACAGATAGTGGACATCCATCTGGTGTGCAGCCTTTCAGGACATGCTGATGCACATAACCTAATCAGAATATCTTCTGTCTTAAACGGGTTCTAGCCTAGATTGGGCCTCCCATCAGATAGACTGGTTCTTCAGGAAATTAGCTAACTCTCCTATACCAATATCTCTCATCTGATCTCAAGTTTTCTGTGCCAGGAAAATGCACATGTCTAAAGGGAAAGCATATCCTTCCTAAGAGTTACAGCTGCAACTAGGCAGCTAACAGGAGCAGAAACAGAATAGTTACAGCTGCAGCTAAGAACAGAATCAGGGTGGAGTAGATCTGCCAAGCATATCTGTGGGCAGTGCTAGAGTGAATGCCTGCTGGACTTCTCCGGCACATTGGGCATGATCTCCACACTGGGCACCTGGCCAGGGGGCTGCAGAATGGATGGCAGTGGACAGAAGGTCATTGGGAAGGAAAAGATATTCATCTGTGGGACAGTGCAGTACAAGGCTAACTTGCTATAACCTGGTCTGAAGCAAAGCAAAGCTGTCCATGCATCTGACTCAACAGCAAGTCAACTCAGAGTTCTGGAAGGAACATGGGTAGGAAGAATCCAGAAAAGACTGGCCACTGTATTGAGTGTCTATCTGCTCACCAGAGAGATGACCACAGTATGAATTAAGTCCATAGGCCTCATAGCCCACCAACCTGGAATTGCCAACTCCTGCCAATACATTGGAAAAATGTGAGAAGGAAAGGCAGATGGCAAATTGGGATTTCTTAACCGTTCTTGAGCTTCTAGCCACAGCACTCATGGTCAGGTTCAGATATCATTTGCTTGCCTTTCTCCAGCATTTCGGTCCCTATCAGCCTTATGAAGCTTAAAAAAACCATGTTGTACTCCAGGAGTTATATGTCCCAGTAGCAGATGACAGTTGTTTTCCTTATTTTATGTGGGAATAGCTGCCCTGCCACAGCACCCTTGACCACTCAAGCATCAGTGTACTCGGATTTCCTGTCCTTAAACCTTCATACCACATCTTTCCTAGTTTTGCTACAACACTTCCAGTTAAGGTATGTATTGCCTAATTCCTTGCCCACAGGCCTCAGGCCAACTCAGCATTACTAGACCTACTTTCTACATGCTTCTAGTCATAAACACCAGCTTTCAGGATCACCATCCATGAGCTTGAACACTATGCACCTACCCCTACCATCATTATTGGCCTTCTTAGCTCTTCTTAGAGGGTACAGCTAGTTTAAGATAGAAGATATTGTGATTATGTCATGAGCATGTCCTGAGATACTGCACACCAGATAGATGTTCACTAACTAGAGATCACACTCTGCATATTACAAGAAAAGTGACGCTTTATTAGTCTTCATTAGAAGTAGAACCCTCCTCTTTATCTCCAACTTCCTGCCTCTCTTCTAGAAACTCCCCAAGCAAAAGTTACTGTCTTCCACCCATTCATTCCAAATCACTGCTCTGAGACATATTTCTAAATATGGGGACAGGGCAACTCTCTTTCTCTCAACTTGCAGGCTAGACCACCAAGTTAAGGATCAAGAAAGAATAATATAGTTGGTGGAAAAGACTTGGCCAGCATACCGATTTGCTCTCGTCTCCCGTGTCTACCTTTTAGAGTGGAAGAGCTCACAGCTTTCTGGGCTGACATCTTTCTCTGTTTTTGGGATCCAGCCTGACACCATCAATTTCCATTGCCGAATGATGGCAGTTCGGGTCACACTTGCCTCTCTTTACCTGAGCTAGCAGGATGGGAAGACCAGGGGCTGTGGTTGAAGTCAAGACCTAGTGGGAGGGTCATCACGGAGGCCAGCAACCCCTCTTTGCTTTGTACTTGGCCTGCTCCTCGCCAGGACTCTGCTCACTTTTCCAGAGTAGAGTCCTATGCTATCCTCTGGGCAAGAGGGATTCCTTGTAGAGGAGAGGGAGGGGCTGCCCTCTGTTGACTCAGGCAGGAACTCCCTTTAGGGAGCTTGATGGGCCGAGGATGGAAAGAGTTCGCCAGCCAACCAGAGGGAGGGCATCCCCCGGGGTCTCCATACCAAGGGAAGCTCCTTTATCACAGGGAGACAGGGCTTGGGGAAGAGGTCAGGCGAGGTGGAGCTATAATTCCTCCAGCACTCTGGCTCTTTGCCTGTATCCTCGGATGAAGAAATTCTCTACATCATCCTCCCCAGTTTCAACCCCTCCCCTCTCCACCTCCACCCCGCCCTGTGCCCATCCCTGCTGGCCACAGGGTCCATCGCCCAGGAGCCGCTTTTCGTTTCTCCTCCCCTGCGGTTCTTTCTGGTTTTTACTTGGCATCTGGCCGGGCGCAGCTACCACCCTCCTCCCTCTCCCCACTTCCCTTTGCTCGCGAGGTCCTGTCCCCCCTCCCCCCTCTCCCACCGCTCCCCTGACAGGGGCGGAGAGAGAATGGAAGATGCATTCCTTCAGTCCCTTCACTGCCTGCTTCTCTCCTCCGGACCGAGGCTCTGAGCTGTGGCTCTCTTCCTGGTCTCCCCACAAACTGCCCCCATGTCACCCATTAACCAACAGTAGCCTTTAAGAAGGCTGAGGTGCCCCCACCGCGCTGACCTACATAGCCGGGCCCAGGCCGGGAGGGGCTCTTCCCCAAGTCCCCTCACCCCTGGCCCCGCCTCCCCCCACCCCCCTTCCTTCATCTCTCTACCATCACAAACCAAAGAAGGTTTGAGTTCCAGACTGGGGCAAAGGGTCTGGGTATGCTATACCCTACCCCAAATTTGGGAAAAATCAATGCTTCCTCCAGGAAAGCTTGGGGTTTTCCGTGCACCTTTCTTCCAAATATCTTGAATCTTCCTTTTACCCAATCTCCCTCCTCTACCCCCACGCCACCCTCCTCCGCTTCTGTCTGGGTTTCTTTTCCCAGCTTCTGCCACGGCTAGGGATCTGGCCATCCAGGGCCCCCTCCGCCCTGTGTTGTTGTTTTGCTCCAAGGAGAAGCCCCCGTTCCTTGCTCACGCCCCCCTCCCAGCCTCACCCAGGCCTCCTTCTCTGCCCACTCGGAGCTCCACCACGGGTGGGGGGGGCGGGCGGGGGAGCAGTAATGTTTGCATACAGCAGTTTGGGGGATTGCACTGGCTACCCAACCCTAAGACACACATACACAAACACCCGACACACGCCCTTACCGAAACAGCGACAAATCTCACTCCGCCCCCAGCACACACTGACACACACACACACACAGATACTGACACAGAAACGCAGAGCCAGACACCAACACAGACGCGCACACCCAGACACACACACAGACACACGCACGGACAGCAACACATCCAGACCCGCGCAGCTCATAATAGAAACCAACCCCGAGATCCAAACCCCGGGCGCACACGCAGACACACACTTGACGGTGTACACAAGAGGGTGCACACGCCGGCACACCCCACAATCCACAGAGACAAGGATGCTCAGACACAGACACAAGGGTATTAGCAGCGGCCAGGGACTTGAACCCCCGGTTCCAAACAAAGCCAACAGGCTGCCTCCACCCGACTGCCCACCTGATCCCCCACCTCGGGTCACTCGCCGGCTCCCCTGGCACCGCCCCCTCCCTCACTCACCGTCCTGGGAGAGGTTGGCCCCGCCGGGCGCCCAGCAGCAGGCGACGAGCAGGAGCAGGGGCAGGGCGGGAGGGGCCCCCAT